GCTCATCACATCTTAATATAATGCTGGCTACGCAGTTTCTTTGAATGGCGTTCGTACAATGTCGGAGACATTGTATGTGTGTGTGTGTGTGTGTGTGTGTGTGTGTGTGTGTGTCTGTGTGTGTGTGTGTGTGTGTCTGTGTGTGTATGCGTTTGTCTGTCTGTGTGTGTGCGCGTGTGTGTCTGTGTGTGTATGCGTTTGTCTGTCTGCGTGCGTGTGTGTGTGTGTGTGCGTGTGTGTGTGTGTGTGCGTATATTATTTAGCAAATGTAAAATATTTATAAACGTAGATGACAGTTTTTAATGTAACAAAAAAATGGTTTTTTATTATTATAGTTATTATAATTATATATAATATAATAATATAATAATTATTTTTATTATTATTTTTTTATTAGAGTAGTTTTTAATGTAAAAAATGTTACAGTTATATAATGTATACGAATACCATGCTAAAAAAACAACAATGACAATAATATGAATAATAATTATTATTATTATAGCCGTATTTATTATTTTGTTATAGTATAAGTTCTATTTTTGTAGACTTTTCCTATATGTTGTTTGTTTAGCTTGTAATACTAAATCAAATCAACCAATCAATTAAACAATTATCCAACCAATCAATCAAACAATCAATCAATCAATCAATCAATCTTTGATATATAAATGCATATGTGTTTAAAATTTGCCTAAATGGTGATTGTTTCTACTTCTGTTTTTGCGCTTCATACTAATCATTTAATCATTCCTCGTTTATTATTATTATTATTATTATTATTACTGCTACTATTATTTATGAGTACTGTCATTTCTTACTATAATTTTTATTCTAGGTAGACAAATGCATGAACATGTATATATATATATATATATATATATATATATATATATTTTACAATATTCTTTAAATTCTACCGAATGTTTGATACCAAACATTCGGTAGAATTTGTAGAATATTTTAAAAATTATGGTCTATTACCAACATATATATATATATATATATATATATATATATATATATATATATATATATATATATATATATATATATATATATATACATACATGTGTGTGGGTGTGTGTGTGTGTCTTGTCTGATTTTGTTTAGGTTGCGGTCAAATGTACAACTCTTAGATGTTAATGATTTTAGATCTTGTTAACGTTGGTTATTATTATTATTACTATTATTATAAATAATAATCATAATTATAATAATATTACTATTTTGTTTTTGTTTCGTAGATTGTGTTTTTTGCTTTTTGGTTTGTTTATTGAGAATCGTTTTCGCTAATTTCCAGATTAAATTTATTTTTAAAAAAATTGTCATTTTTAAATTTATTTTGTTTGGAAAAAAAATTTCATTAAGGCAGACGCTCACACAATTTTATAATTATTTTAACGATATAGTATAGGAATTGAACTAGAGTTATTGTACTTTAGAGACAATGACCTGGAAGCGAGGATGATGATGATGTCCTTGTAAATGTGATTATGATGAAGTTTTTTAAATGTGATTTACGAATGGATTTTTCATTTTGAATGTCGGTTCTTTGTATATGACCCGAATGTCGGTTCTTTGTATATGGATGGGCATTACGAAATCGCTTTCTAACCGTTCTTTAAAACGTTTTTCAAACCGTTGTTTGAATTTGGTAAGTGTCAATTAAAGTTTTGATCTGTAAAGTCATATATATACGTGTATATACATTATATATAATATATGTGTAACTTTGATGAAAAAAATTAAGGTTTTTGCTTCCAGTAAAATCCAATAATTGCAAGATGGTGCAATATTGGTCTAAAATACCATAATCTAACTTACGTTTAGATCTCAATTAAATGTGTGAGATGTATAAAATAGATGAGTTGGTATGATTAGAGGTTTTTCGGGTTTTTCAGTTGAGTAAGTTCAATTTATATTAAACCCAAAACGGCGGCCCATACTTTTTAAAAATTTATCGTTCCATCTCTAAACATGGGAGTGGAAAATTTAAATCGAGTTTCGCAAGGTGTTTTTTCTTTGTTGCACTGGTCGTTTGTCCTATTTATTTACAAATTATTTGTTGAATTTTCACAAAATAATTAAAAAAAACTTTCCGAAAAGTGATTTAAAATGTCGTCGAACGATGACGTTGTTCTTTCGAGGCGCAGCGCTATGTTCCAGACTCCCAATCACATCCGTCAGTTAAGAAGTTTTTTTTTAAATTTAAATTAACTTATAAAAATTATTATAAAAAAAAATGGAACGAACGAACGTAGTAATACTACCACATTTATAATATACATTTTAAGTTCAGTTAGCTTCAATATCGATTAGACAATTTTGGCTAAAAATATTTGCTTGCATGAATCTGCAATTAAAATTGTTTTGGGTAATTTATGCAATTGTATACTTTGAATTATTAAATTATTAACTATTCAAACTTTAATGTTTATTTAAAAAATTAAAAACTATTTATTTATTATATAAAATAAATAAATTACAAATTATGAAATATTATTAATAATCCAAGTTAATTAAATAATTGAATTATTTTTAAAAAAAAACCACTAGGGGGTTTGAAGTCTTCAAATTTGACATCTGCCAAACGTAGGCCACTTTCTGTTCTAAACCCAAATAACAATGTTTCTGACTGCAGAACATGTGAAAGACCCAAACTGGTATTGATTGATTTCTAAGTTTTATTTTTTTATTTCCTATCTAGTTCTTTATTGTTCTGGACTTAATAACTTTCACCCATTTCAACAAATTTTCCCAGTTACCAAGCCTAACAAAGCCTGTCCTGCGGATGAGCGAGGCAAAGAATGCCTTCAAAAAGCCAGTGAAACCGTCAATCCTAGAGGATGAGTATGAAGAAATTGAGAAAATGTTTATAGAGGAGAAGCCGGCAGTTGGTTTGCCATTGAAATTTTACTTTTTTTCAAATTTTTCAATTTCAGCTTATATTAGTTTTTTTTTTAAATTTAATTTTTATAAACTTTTACAATCAATTCAAAAGATTTTTCTACCTTTTAAAAGTCGCTAAAAGTAATAATAATAGATAGTTATAAAAATTTTGACTGATACTATTTTATATTATGTTTTTACTACAATGCTATCACACTGCAATTTAATATTTTGAAATTTTTAATTTTTAATAAATTATGTTTCTTGCAGATTTGTATGAGGATGTGATTCCTTTAAAAGAGCAACCAACGACGTATTTGAGTCAGTTTGTCTTAATGTTCCCATCCATTTCAAGCAGTCTCTACTACAGCAGCGGTACAGATCGCTGCTACAACGTCGATCATCATGATGAGACCGCTACTGCCGATGGCTTTTCTGCAGAGGATGACTTTGACTATCTGAAATCTGACAAAGGTTGGGTGTTAGGGCGTTTGTAAGTTTTAGAAATTGCACTCTATATAAATGAATTTGATTAATTAATGGATTGGTTGATTGATAAATTGGCTTTGGTTGATTGAATTTAAAATTTTGTGGATTCAATTTTGAAGCTACTATGCTATGAGTCTTGGCTTTCTGTTATTATTGAATTACAATATAATTTTACGTCATAATTATAACATTTATGACGTCATTTCGTAACGAATGAATCATAATATCTATTGTGGTATCTATAAATTTTCCTCCCACAGAATTACTAAAAGTCAACATGGATGAGTTGATGATGTTGGATGAAGAGATTGCAGCTGCCACCTCCGCTGCTGAAACCGCTGATGATGATGATAATGATCACAGTGATGATGATGATGATGATAGTAATGATCACGTGGGCAATAAAAACGATGACGTCAGAAATGTGCTGGAATTTCCGCCCATGCACTTTTTCGATGATTTATTTCTAAGTATTTAACATGTTGTTATTACCATTATTATTAGTATTATTATGATTACTGTTGAAAATTATGTTGTTATTATTATTATTACATTATATTCATATAGGCAAGTTAAACTAGAGTCAATGAACTATAACCTTTTCAACCTTTATTAATAATAATTTTTTATTATGTTTTGTGTGTCTAGCAGGGTGTTTTTAAAGCATTTATTGTGATTAGTGCTGGTATTATTATGATTTTTCTGATTATTATGTTATTTTTTCTGTTTTTATTGTAGGATTTCAGATCTTGTAAAATTATTTATCTGATTAATTATTAATTAATTATTTAAAACTTGATGTTGTCGTAATATAAGTGAATAACTTTGAATAAACGAATTGAAAAATGGATGAAATTTATTTATAATCAGTTACATAAACGTTCTCTGTGCTATTTTATTACTGTTTAACATTGTTTTTTGGTTTACATTATTCAAATTTATTTGAAACAAATATATAATGACGGTTGTTTAATATGAGATGTATGTCGAATATTATGTTACATATGGACATTGTTTTTCTGTAAGATTATATAGTACATACACAATGCTTTTATTGGTCGAATCTTTTAAAATGGAAAAACATTATAGAGAATGTATTTATATTTGCTATAGAATAATTATATTATGGTATTATAAAAGCTCCCAATGAAAAACGTAGAAAATTTATGCTTACGATATGTTATATTGTAGATAATTGAGCCATTTAGCTGTTTTATTAGAGTTATTTGGTCGTTTAGCTAGTGGAATATTAGTTTAGTATGCGCTTTATTCACTTATTTTATTTTATAGCGAATTCCATATACGATTATTGTCTAAATGCTTTATATGTGTGGTTATTTCTCACTAAAATGTCATTCTACATTAGTGATGGTATGTGCTTTAAAGGGCCAAAAAATATAGCTATCTGAATTTAAGGTTAGCACTTGAAATATGTGCTTGAAATATTTAACATTACAACGCTTTTGCCATGTAAAACAATTTGGAGTATACATGTGCGTGTATGGTGCTATTTCGTTACTATGCTAAATAAGAATTATATGATTCTATATATACATATAATATATTGGTATAAATATAATAGCAACCCACTAATATTAAGAGTTAAACTGAAAATAATTTTTTTTCATCTGATTCATTTTTAGCCTATTAGTTTGACACCTTTATTGCTGGAATGAAAATTGCTGAAGAGACAAACAACTTTTTTTTTTCTAGAATAGTTTAACAAAAAACTAATTTATCTTATTTTTTTAATAAAAATTATTTAATTTAATAAAACAGTAATGATGTTATTAAATTCATAAAAGATTGCCATTCATTAATTAAAGATTCATTGAAGATTAACATTATTAAACATATTCAACTTGAACTTGAAGGAACTTAGGCAAAATAATAAGATATGGCCACAATTCGGAAGAAATTAGTGATTGTTGGAGACGGTGCCTGTGGGAAAACCTGCCTATTAAGTGTTTTTAGTAAGGACCAGTTTCCGGAATTGTATGTACCAACAGTTTTTGAAAATTACATAGCGGACATTGTTGTTGATGGAAAACAGGTTTGTTTGTTTGGTTCTATGAAAAATTTGATGGTTGGTTGGATGGTTGGATTGTTTATTTACTGCTTACTGACTGACTAATTGATTGGTTGACTAATTTACTGATTGGTTGACTAATTTACTGATTGGTTGACATTTGGTTGTGTTGTGGACAGTTTGATGCTTACTGATAAATAGATTTTTAAGGATTTATCTATGACATTTCCTCTAAAAATAAATAGATGGATAATTATGAATTTGTGTTTTAAATTTTGATGGTTTCTTCTATGTGCTATAATGTTTCATTTGCTTGAGTTTACAGTTAATCATTAAATAAATTATTTAATGGGTAATGCTAGAATTTAGATGTGTTTTTTTTATATCAGAATATAATTCAGGTCATGTCAGAAAATATATATATTTCAAAATATTTTCATTTCTTTCCCTAATCAGAAAGTTTCACAAAACATAGGTAGAACTTGTATTATGGGACACAGCAGGGCAGGAGGATTACGATCGACTCCGACCTCTTTCCTATCCAGATACAAATGTCATCCTAATGTGTTACTCCATAGATAGTCCCGACTCCCTGCAGAATATCCCAGAGAAATGGACCTCAGAGGTGAGTTTTTTTTTCTACTCAAGTTTTTTTTATTGATGCATTTTCATTTATATTGATAAAATGATGGAAAAAAGTTTAAGTTGGCTGTGGTTGGTTGGCTGGTTGGTTGGCTGGTTTGCATTCAATCAATCAATCATTTCATTCATTTACTGATGATTGACGTTTGTATCTAGTTTGATGCTTGTTGTTCTAAAAGTATTCTTCAACATAGGTCCGTCATTTTTGCCACGACGTACCGATCGTGTTAGTGGGCAACAAAAAGGACCTGAGGAACGACGAACTGACGAGACGAGATCTCATGAAGGTCAAGCAGGAGCCGGTCAGATATGAAGAGGGCAAACAAATGGCCGACAAGATTGGTTAGGTCACGTGATTGTGAGGACGGTGGTTGCGATAATGATGATTGTGAGGAGGACGATGGTGTTGATGATGGTGGTGACGTTTTACTGTGATGATGATGACTTTAGATTGAAATTATTAAAATAGTTATTAATTTACAAAGGTGCTTATTGCTACCTCGAGTGTTCAGCGAAGACCAAAGATGGCATTAGGGAAGTTTTTGAGATGGCAACGAGGGCTGCTCTGCAATCCAAGAGGAGAGTGAAGAAGATCCATTGCTCTTTGCTTTGATGGTGATACTGATGGGAAGGAGGAGAGGGAGGAAGACGATGAGAATGGTGATGATAATGATGACGATGATGAGGATAGTGATGATGGTAACGATGACGACGACGATGATAACAATCTAATTTTCGATGAAATGTTTATTTGGAAACCACTTGTGTGGAGTTGTTTCTCTCTCAAGTGGGTTCTTGTTCGTGTACGTGCTTGTGTGGGCGTGCGTGCGTGTGTTTGTGTGGGTGGGTGCGTGTTTGTATGGGCGTGTGTATAATAGGTATTAATAGAGTCATAATAATAATAATAATAATGTCATGGCTGGTTTTTGCTACTGACAATTTTCCAACGTATCAGTCTTGCCCGTCGCGTCGTTATCATTACGTTATCCCCGTTACATTCATCATCATCATCATTGTCGTCATCATCACCATCGTAGCCTACATATCATCATCATCGCCATAATTGTGTTGATCATTAGCATAATTGTGTTGATCATTAGATATACCGTTTATGAATTCTATTTAGAGTTATTGGTTTTTGCTTAAAACAGTTCATATATATATATACCTCTCTTTATTTATCTCGCATTTTTTCTCTCTTTCTCTCTCTCTCTCTATATATATATATATATGTATATTATTATTGTATATATAAGAATTTCTATTATAATTTATGATTCAAACAGACAAATGTGTTGCTTCTGAAAACAAAGATTTTATTTTGTTAAATGTTAAAAAAATCATTATTGGGAAAAAAAACTCACCTGAAGACAAAGAAACGACATTTAAAGTTTATTATTTCACAAATTATAATCAGTTTGTCACAAAATATATATATTTCATTAAACTTTACTTTTAGGTTTTTTTTAACCTCTCAACAAAAACCCCAGACAAAAAATTCACAGTGTATTATCAATCGCGCAAAGCACGTCAAAATCAAAATTAAAGAATCAAAAATCTAAATTCTAAAATAAAAATTAAGGAAGTATAGTTTCTTTACATATATATATATATATATATATATTTATTCATATATATACATTTATATGTTTATTTGTCGTATATATAGTTATTAAGAAATATCACCGTATTTTCCGCATTGTTGAGTTTGTAACTAAGTTTTTTAATTTTTTGCACAATTATTTTATCTTCACTTTAATAAATTTAACAATATTGATATATTTCTTAATAAATGTGCATATATTATATATGGGTGAAAATATATACATATTTATATATATATATATATATTTGTTGGTAATAGACCATAATTTTTACAATATTCTATAAATTCTACCGAATGTTTGGCGTTAATATGTTTGTAGTTCGTTTTTTCGATTTTTCTCACTAAAGTTTTTTGGTGAACGTTTAGTTTATTAAAATTCAAAATAAACTTTTTTTTCGAATTCATGCTGCAAATAAGGCCATATTTCGATTCCGAATGAATCGTATATATATATATATATATATATATATATATATATATATATGTGGGTGTGTGTGTATATATGCCCTTAAATATTTAAATTCACTTATATAGATGCTAATAGTGCCTCTATACATGGCTTCACCGCACTGCAAATATTTCGAGTCGTTTTGAATTTGCTTTCATATCAAACTTCAACTACGTTTTGAATCTTTTATATGCAAAATTTTGAAGAAACACACACATGTATATATAGTTGTGTGTGTGTTTTTGTGTGTGTGTGTGTTTTTGTGTGTGTGTGTGTTTTTGTGTGTGTGTGTGTGTATTTACATATATAGATATAAATATATAATCCAGTATTACTATCGTTATTGTTGTTGCTATTGTTTTTACACTCGCTACATCGTTGAGGTAGTTAATTTTTTTTATAACAACTACGACGATTATACGCTTATACCATGTTATTATTATTATTATTGTTATTATTATTATTGTTGTTGTTGATGATGTTGTTGTTATTGTTATTATTGATGTTTTTATTGTTTTTGTTGTTTTTGACAACTATACCTACTTTTATATACAATTTTTTTATCAAGTTTTCTCACAAAGCTTTTACGAATCTACGAACCATGTGTATATTTGTTTGTGTGTGCGTACGTGCGTGTGTGTGTGTGTGCATTTTTTAAAAATACATTATTATGTTATTATTATTATTATTATTATTATTATTCAAAACAGCACGGGCAGAACCCCTTGCCAAACAAAAATATAGAAATTCGAAAATATAAACCATAAATAAATAAAATAGGTAATGTACATAATAAACTTATCTTATATATATAAATAATAATACACAAGTCAACACAACAAAATAAAGCAACATAATTAATTAAAGTGTAAAAGATGATAACTATTGAATGTATTATATAGTGTAAAAGGAACAATTATGAATTCAAACGCCAATCAAATATGGAGTCACCAAAAAATGAATCTAATAATGATTTAAAAATGTTAATGTTATCAGCGTTGACGGCATCAGAAGGAAGCCTGTTCCAGTCGTCTACCACACGGTATGAGAAGCAAAATTTACGACAATCTTTATGACATGGTCCTGTAGTCAGTTTCCAGTTGTGTCCTCTCGTACGATCGTCGGACGAAAATAGTAGCGTTGGACTAGCCTTGACAGAAGCCTCGCCACGTAACATTCTGAACAGCAAAATAAGATCCGCTCTCCGACGACGGTACGCGAGTGAAGGCAGCTTAAGTTTCTTTAATCTGTCAATATAAGGAAGAGACCTACAGGAATTAACCAAACGTGTTGCTCTTTTTTGGATTTTTTCAATTTCTAAAATTAAACCAATTTTGTAAGGTTTCCATGCTTGAACACCATATTCCAACTGAGACCTCACCAACGACTTATACAACAAGACAAAAGCTTCATCTTATAAATTCTTGAAGTTTCTAGCAACAATCCCCAACATGGAGTTAGCTTAATGAACAATTTTCACGATTTGGCTTTTGAACCTAAGCTTGGCATCAGAGATCACTCCGAGGTCTGATATCTCATCAACCTCTGGAAAACAAAAGGGCAGTCCGTTGCAGTCTACAATAGTGACTGGTGTACCTGAATTGTTGCAACCAAACCTTAACATTTGGCATTTATTGATATTTATATTTAACTTCCATTTACTAAACCAATCAACCATTTTTATAATATCCTGAGAAAAGATGATTTTATCTTCGTCACTTTTTATTACCTTAAAAATTTTTGAGTCGTCTGCAAATAGCAGAACATTGTCACAAACAGAAGATAAATCGTTTATATAAACTAGAAACAATAGCGGACTCAGAACCCCACCTTGGGGAACCCCACTTAAAACCGGTCTCTGATCCGATAATGTACCATCAAGCTTTACTTGAAACGACCTACCACTGACATAGTTCTGAATCCAATTTAGTAGCTTGTTGTTAATACCGTACTGTTTGAGCTTGAATAGTAATCGGCTGTGTGAAACCTTGTCAAACGCTTTTTCATGATCCATATAAACCACATCAACCTCATAACCATGATCCAATCCCTCAGTGATGATCTCCAAAAACCTCAAAAGTTGCAAGACTGCTGAACGACCTGGTATAAATCCAAACTGGCCATTGGAAAATAAATCATTCTCCATAAAATAATTCATAATGTGATCTTTTATCATAGATTCCAGAATCTTGCATATTGTTATTTAAGAGAAAATTTGACGCTGATATTATTATTAATGTTATTGTTATTTTTTTGTTAAAAGATGAAGCCAAAAATATATTGGTGAATTGTAAAAATATATTGGTGAATTGTATTAGAAATAATTTGTTCATTATTTAACACCACACACACACACACACACACACACACACACACACACACACACACACACACACACACACACACACACACACACACACACTCACTCACTCACACACACACACAATACAATACAACTTACAAGAGGAAGTAGTAAAAACATGAACGTGTATACATTACTTAAACTTGGAAATTGATTGCATGCCCGTAGCTGTATTAAAATTTTGAACGTGACAGTTGCAGTAGCTACTACCAGTATAAATATAACAAAATCGCATGTTGGTGACGACCGATGAAAGATTCATTCTGTTATTTTTCCATTTTCTCATTCGATTATTAAAGTGCAGACTTTATTAAAGGATAATATTAATCATCAAAAAGTATGACGAAGGAACAAAAATCCATGAACAAGTGAAAAAAGGCTGAAAGGTTGTTTAAAAAAAAGCGTATTTAGTTAGAAGATTCCTCGACGCGTCAAGGCAACCATTCTTGAAGCAGTCGAAAAAAGACTGCCAGCATCTCAAACAAGTTCTACAAACAATTCTACCTACCTACTACTAACATTATAACTAACTAATAACATCTCTCTCAAAGTTTGTGTTCGTGTGTGTGCGTGTGTGTGTTTTAGCAGGTTACAGATTTTATTTAGTAGGCTTGTGTTTGTGATATACGCAAGCAATAGTTGAGAAGGTATAAGCAGATGTCAATGGCGGAGACATCTATGTGTATGAAGTTCGCACTTAGTACCTCAGCGTAAGATCAAAGTTTCTATTCGATTTCGTTATATGTAGTTACACACCCAGCTACACATACAAACACGCACCTAGGAGGTTGGAATTTCTTTCTAAAGATGAAAAAATCCGTCTACGAAACCAAGCGAATGAAAGTTTAGATTCTTCAACAAAGTTTGTAACCTTAATTTTTATTCGCGCACACACACGTACATACATACATACATACAAACACATACATGCATTCAACTGAATGCCAACATGTGCAATTAACGACAAATCAAAGTGTTAATCCATTTGTTACTTGATGTTTGACGGTTCAGTGTCACTCATCATGTTTTGATTTTAACATACATTCAAACATACAAACATACATACACAACATCACATCACCATAGATGGCTGGTCGGGTGTGTTCGCTATTTGAAAATATGCAACCACCATTCTGCATCTAACAGATCAATACTTTAATGGCTCTCACCATCACCAGCGCCATCATCGTCGTCGTCTTCATCATTATGTCAAAATATTAGTAGTAAGAAAGTGAAAAGACGTGCAGTTGGCCGTTTCCCACGAAATTTGACATTCGTGTAGGACCATTTTGAAAGGCAGCTAGGCAGATTGTGCTATTTCCGTTAAAGTCCACAGCCTTTTGTAGATCTCAGAGGATTAATTGTTGATTATTACAAGTGGGAATTTTACTTTGGCATCTGTATTTGAACAGCGGGTTGAATATTATCTCGATAAAGAGTTAGATAGAAATGAACAATTCTCTTAATGGCTTGTTTATTATACTGAAAAATTTGGATTTTATTCAAAATTTAGGGTCGTTTGTTATTCATCTAAACTGTGATTGTAAATCTAAATCAACTAAATATTTGACTATTCAGTCAAATTCACTATTTAGTTCATCTTCAATTAAGACAATAAAAACAACCACGGTTAAAACTATCACTATCACCACTACCATCATCACCATCATCATCATTATCATCATCATCATTATCATCGTCATCATCATGCTCGTCACATTTTCAATAAAATCAGAACGGTCTTGTTCATGTCAATCATTATCGTCATCATAAATAACATCAATAACATCATCATCATCAACAACATCAACAATACCACCAATCGTCGTTGTTATCATACTTTTTACTCAACTATCGCTGCTGTCACTAAAATGACACAAAAGTTGCTTACTATACACACACACACACACACACACACACACACACACACACACACACACACACACACACACACACACACACAAACATATACACACATGCATAAGTATATATGTATTTATACACATATAGTGTGCACTTATATACCTACATACCGTACATATGTATATACATATATGTTAGTTTTATATATATGTATATATATGTGTATATGTATATATATATATATATATATATGTATATAATAATTTATTTGGTTCTTTGCCTACTATTGACTTTTTTCTTTGGTTTTCCGATAAGGTTATAAAACAGGAATTAATAATAATACTAATACTAATACTACTAATAATAATAATAATAGGTTTGTTAAAATATTTTTGAAAAGATGTCTTTTGGATTATAATTTAATCATTGATATGTACAATTAAACATTTAAAATCTCCAATTAAAAAAAATATAAATAATATTGATAATAACGGTAAATAATAATAATAATAATAATAAAAACGTTTGCTAGGTTTACAGCAGCTGACTATGATTTATTAATAAAATTATAGGATTCTGATGAAAGTAAATGTAATTATATTGATTATAATATTATTATTTTTATTATTTTTATTATTTTTATTATTATTATGCTATTATTATTATGCTATTATTATTATGTTATTATTATTTTATTATTATTATTGCTCTGTTGGAATTTTTTTCGATTACAAGCTTAATTAAATCAAGCCGTCAACTTGATTAAAATTTCGTTTACTCATTCGTTCTTTCATTCGTCCAATCGTTCGTTCATTCGTTTGTACGTTCTTCGTTCGTTCATTCGTTCGTTCGTTCGTTCGTTCGTTCGTCCTTTTGTTCGTTTGTTTGTTGGTATGTTCAGACATTAACTTTATATACTTCACACTTCACATACAACTTTAATTAACATTCATTCATTTTATAATTGATTAATTAATTAGTTTATTTATTTATTCATTATATAATTTATAAATTCATTCATCAAATCAATTATTTATTTTTTTTCTTCGTTTGTTCTCTCACTCTTTGATACATTTTTTACAGTATTAGTGACTTATTGCTGATGAAAGATGTTTTCAAGCGTATGAATGAATGAATGAATTAATTAATTAATTAATGCACTGGTGAATGAATAAATGAATAAACGAATGGGTAAAAAATGAATGAGTGAATGAATGAATGAAGGAATGATTAACGAAACAAAATTACTTTCACTGCAGCTTTAGTTTTGCATGAGAACCTAGATGAACGAATGGATGGATGGATAGATAATCAGATAGATGGATAAAAAAAATGAATGAATGAGTGAATGAATGCATGTGTGAATGTATGTATGTACGTTTGAATGAATGAATGAATGAATGAATATGCTAAATTAACTTTTACTTTTTCGAAAGCGTTTTATGGGAAAAAAGATGGATGAATGGAAAGATAAACGAACGGATAAAAGGATGTATGTATGGATGAATGAATGAATGAATGAACGAACGAATGAATGAATGAATGAATAATACAAAGCTGGATGGATGAATAAAATTGTTTTGATAAGAGGTATGTAGTTTTGTTATTTAATTTATTTCTACTCAATAGTTTGTACATGCGTTGGAATGTATGTTTGTTTGCATGTTTGTATGTGTGTATCTATGTATGTGTATGTATGCATGTGTGTGTGTGTGTGTGTGTGTGTGTGTGTGGTGTGTACCTATGTATGCATGGTTAACACCACTACTTCCTCTACTACTACAACCATTAGCACTACTATTATTATTACTACTACTACTACAACTATAACTTTTACTACTATTACCATTACTATTCTTGCTGCTGCTACTACTACTACTACTACTACTACTACTACTACTACTACTACTACCAATACCACTACCACTACCACTACCACTACTACTACTACTACTACTACTACTACTACTACTACTACTACTACTACTACTACTACTACTACTATTGCTACTACTACTACTATTGCTGGAGATGAAACCAAAATGGGATACTAAAAATAATGATAGAAACGTTATCAGTGCAATGATTGATGGATATCTATTTGTGTGATAAAAAAATGTATTCATTCATTCATTCATTTATTCATTTGTTCGTTTGTTCGTTCGTTCATTCATTCATTCATTCATTCATTCGTTTATTCGTTCATTCGTTCATTCATTCCCTTATGGTAGTAGAATGTACAAAATTTGGGGATAAAAATATTGAAGATGATGATGTTTTTAGTAATAATAATGATAATAACAACAACAACATCAATAACAACAACAATGACAATAATAATAATAACAACAACAACGATGATGATGACGATGATCAGGGCGGATGCTTGAAACAAAGGAACAGTTGTGAAATCGTCATCATCATCATCATCATCATCATCATTATTATTATTATTATTATTATCATCATCATCATCATTACCGTCATTTCATCATCTTCGCCTAAAAATTTGATAGCGAAAAATCCACATTTATCAGTTGTACATAAACATACACATCTTTATCCAAAAATGTGTGCGTGTATGTGTGTGTATGTGTGTGCGTGTCTGTCTCTGTGTGTATGTGTATCTATTTGTGTGATTGTGTGTGTGCGATTGTGTGTGTGTACGTGCGTGCGCGTGTATGTAAACTTACACAATGTTTGTTTTTTATTAGCGATGTGTTTATTTTGTCACTAATTATATGAAATTGCCTAATTGGTTGTGGCTGGCTATGATGACGACGACGACGATGATGATGGTTATGATGACGACGACGATGATGGTGGTGGTGGGTGGTCTTAGATTTGATGATGAAAATGATGACGACGATGATGTAGAAAGATGGTGATGATGATGAATGATAGATAGCGATAATAGCGAGGCTGATTAGTGATAATGGATTTGATGATAGAAATGAATGAGTGTAAGAATGAAAGGACGAACAATCGAACAAACGAACGAACAAATTGGCGAACGAACGAATGAATAAATGAATGAATGAACAAATTAATGAATGAATAAATTAACAAAGAAATTACTGAAACATGAGTATGGATATTAAATATTCTTTTGAATAAAATATTTTTTTATTTATAAAGCTTCCATCTCGTTGAAGTTGAAGAATTAACATAACAACAACAACAACATCATCATTATCATCATCAACAACAACAATATAATAACAATAAACAATAATAATAACAACAACAATAATAATAATACAAATAATTAATCAGCCAGTCTGTTTTGATCCAGTCAGTCCGTCGCACTCAACAAATCAATTTAATATTCCACGTAACTGAAACAACAACAACAACAACAACAATAATAATAAAAATAACTATAACAGTTTCATAATAACAATGGAGGACTTATTTAAATCATTCTGTGCCTTCGGGGCAGACAAACACAGCAGCCAATCAGCGGCTGCCATGCTGGATGGCGCCAAATTTGCCAAGATGGCGAAGGATTTGAAATTATTGGATAAACAGTTTACCACCACTGACGTTGATATCATTTTCACTAAAGTTAAACCGAAGACTGAGTTAGTTTGTCTGTCTGTCTGAGTGTGTGTGTTAATGCATGTGAGAGAGAGAGAAAGAAAGAGAGAATGAGAGAGAGAGAGAGAGAGAGAGAGAGAATTGAAAATGATGAGAAATATTAAAAAATGATAAAAAAAATATGTTAGTTACCCTATAAAAACACTGACGACCAATCATGTCACACCGCTCTTCCGTTACCAACCAATCGCAGCACTCCATTCATAAGTTATCAATTTATCACATCACTCCACCAACCCGTTATCAGCCAATCATTTCTCTCCTTTCATCAGTCAAAAAATTTTTAACCAATCAGACGCAAGATAACGTACGCGCAGTTTGAAGAGGCCTTAAAATTGATGGCGGCCAAGAAATATCCGGGGGCCGAAGATGGGTTGGAAAAATTGAAGGGGGCAATGCTGCAGGGGAAAGGGCCTGCCGTACACGGAGTTACTGTATGTATGTGTGTATGTATGTTTTTGTATGTATGTTTTTGTATGTATGTTTTTGTATGTATGTATGTGTATATATGTATGTATGTGCGTGTGTGTATGTGTGCGTGTGTATACTTATGTACGTATGTATGTTTCGGCCCTTAACAACCTCCTTACATTCTCGTTCGTTGATCACTCGAACGCTTCTCGATGACTGTTGATCAAAATTCAGCCTTATATCAATACTTCCATACGAAGTCGTCACACTGCAGCCATAGCTTGCTAATTCAGCAAACGCTCCTTTTTATTTCTGTTCAGCCACAACCAACTCGAAGCTTGCCCTGCGCTACTGATAACTTTCTTCAGACATGTCGTACGCTTTCTGCCTGACAGTCCCAACTCTTTGATAAGTACAAACATCGACGCTCGCAATGCTCCTCTTGTACCAGCCTCAACAGAGTAGAACCTGGTTTGTATCCTTTCTTGTTTAATTCTTGAATCAGCTGTTCGTACTTTGCAGTTCTTACATCGTGGCTACTGAGCGTGTTATCTTCGTGCGACACAGTTAACTGAATTCGTATCCTCAGATGCCACCACCACCATGTCAAGTCTCATGTCTGCTACTTTACGTTTACGTTGGAAAATTTCGTCTTTCTTCCAAATTAGTGTACACAACCCGCTGTATGTATCTATTATTATTATTATTATTATTATTATTATTATTATCATCATTAAAATTTATGAAGCGCTTATTAAAATAATAGTGTTAATTTTTCAAAAGCGCTATCATATAATTAACAGAAATAGCTGAAAAAGTAGATAAAATAAATCAGTTCACAGTTATTGATTAAATAAATGAGTCTTCAAATTCTTCCTAAAGTTTTCAATTCCTGAATCGCACACCCTCAACGACCGTGGCAAACCATTCCATACAACCGCCCCCGACACTGCAATATTTCTTGCTCCTATCTGCAAACGAAAAACAGGCACAACCATCAAATTATCATCATCAGATCTTAGACTTGTGCCAATACGCAAATTTGATCTCTTCTTATTGAACTTGCATGTCAAATATTCTGGCGTAAATCCATTTAAAACCTTGTACATTACCATACAGATTTTATATATTATCCTTTTATTGACAGTTAGCCAATGTAGGTTCCTCAAAATTGGCGTAACGCGATCAAATTTAGCACCACCTACAACAATTTTAGCAGCTCTATTCTGGATGGACTGAAGCATCACAATCG